CGGGTCCCGCTGGCGGAGGTGGCGCTCCCAGAGCCGCGGCAACTGCACCGCCGCCGGGGCTCAGCGGGGGCAGCGGGAACCCGCCCGCGCCACGGCCCGACATCACTCCGTCCCGTCCGGCGGTACAGCGATCCGGACTCCGGGCTTCGCGCCGAATCCGCTCCGCGATCCGCGCTCCGGGACTTTCCGATCTAAATTCCGGGTTCTGGGGTTTGTTGATCCGGGTTCCGGGATTTCCTAATCCAAGTTCGGGAGTTCCTCACAGACCGGGTTTGGGGCAGGGCCGATCCTGATTCCGGTCCGGCCCGGGAAATCCTAGATCCGGGATCTGCTACGGGCCGGCCTGCCGCCCCCGGGATCCGGAGGTTTGGCCGCGGGAGTCCAGTTAACCTAGAGGCGGCAACTAACTCCCTGCTCGGTCCAACCCAGCCCGGCGCTAGGCCCCGCCCACACCCAGCCGCCCAATGCTGGGATGCCTCCTCAAATCCCGCCCCTCGCGAGACCCGCCCCCAACAGGCACGGTTTCTAACCGCCGGCTCCAGGGTCCTGCCCACAGCCCTTGGGCCCGCCCTTTGCGGGAGGGGCGGGGGCGGAAGCTGCGCACGGGAACGCCCAGCAAGGCGCAGGTCAGAGGTCGAAGGTCACCGAAAGCTTCGGCAGTGGATAGTTGCAGCCCTTTCCCCGGTGTACCCTGCTCTCCGAGGTAACCTGTGCACCACAGTGCTCAAAATAGTTTTGCCCAATCCCCTTTCTACATTTTCAGCATTAAAGACTCAAGTTAGAGCTGCTCTCAGGGGCAGAACAGCCGCCAACTTAACTTTCTTTAAAAGTCCACCTTGGTGGCTCAGACCTGCCAAAGGGACATGCGCCACCCGGACCCGATCCAGCTGTGTTAAGGGTTGACCTGGCCAAGCGCCGATTTCTTATCGCATATTTTTTATGTGGCTCCGCCTCACTTTAAAGAAGCCTAGTACTTTACTACACAGGAAATGTTTCTAGGCGAAGGAATTTTGTGCTATGACAAAACTCCCTACAGTTAAATAAGGTATTTCTCTAGGATTTATAGCACCTGATTTTCAAAAATTACCTTTTCAGGAACCACTGCCCTGTATCAGAAGGTATTCAAAATAAAGTGCTTCAGCCATGCCTGGGAGCCTACCCTCTTGATGGTCTGGGTTTTTCTTCCCATGATACAGACCAGTGCTTCTTAAACTTTAATGAGCGTAAGAAACATCTGGGGCTCTCGTCAGAAATGCAGATTATGACTCAATAGGCCTTGAGTTCTGGGGTAGGGCTCAAGTTTCCGCATTTCTAACAAGCTCCCATTGCTCTTAGATTGAACATCACAGTCCCTCCCATGAAATGTAAGGTCCTACAGGGCCTGGCTCCTGCTTATATTCTTGGGCTCATTTTAAATTTCTGCCTTTGTTTCTCTAAAAGTCATTCTAGAGGTTCTCTTGACAATTTCCCAAGCTGCTAAGTCCCTTCCCACCTCAGAACCTTAAGTTTTCTCCTCTCTCCCTTTATTACTCCCATCAAGTGACTATCACAATATGTAATTACTTGTTTATGTGTGCACTGGTTTTCTGTTTGACCTAACCCCCTCATTAAAATATAAACTCTGTGAAGGCAGGAACGGTCTTCTTGTCTTTTTTTTAAATTGAGGTGAGATTTACAATACATAAAATTAATCATTTTGAACAGTTCAGTGGCATTTAGTACATTCAGTGTTGTACAACCACCACTTATATCTAGTTTCAAAACGTTTTCATCACCCCAAGAGAAAATCTCATATCCATTAAGCAGTTGCTTCCTATTACCCCCTCCTCCTACTCCCTGGTACCTATTCTGATTATTTCATATGAATGGAATCATACTATGTGGCTTTTGTGTCTGGCTTTTTTTCACTTTGCATAATGTTTTTGAGGTTAATCCATGTTGTAGCATGTTTCAATACTTTATTTCTTTTTATGGCTGAGTAATATTCCCTTCTTTGTATATACCACAATTCATTTATCCATTTATCCATTGATGGACATTGGGACTGTTTCCAACTCTTGATTATTGTGAGTAGTGCTGCTATGAAGATACATGTTATGCATTTGTTTGAGTACCTGTTTTTAATTATTTTGGGTATATATTCTGTCTCTCTTAATCATTGTTATAACCTACTCAACAAATGTGTGCGAACAAGTGGATGATTTTCAAGCACAGTGGGAGAAAATGATAAACAGATACTGTCAACATGAATTTATTGCTATGATAAAATATTCCCAAGGTTAAATTGAATATAGAGATATCTAAGACATGGTAGGAATTAAGGAAGATTTCCTAGACAGACAGAGAATAGCTATCATTTATTAAGCATTCACTACACACATTAGCTCATTTAATCCTCACAATACATATGAGGTAGATAATATTTTTACCTCTCTTTTAGAAATCAAGGTAGAGAGATTCAGTTACTTGCACACTTTCACCACATGATGGTGCTGGGATTCAAATGTGGTTCTGATCTGGCTCTAGAATCTGTAATCCAGGCACTTAACCACTATATATGAGTTCTTGTTGGTAGCTGTTATTTCTCTGTTATTGCCTCTGATCTGTTATTAGTTGCAAAGAAACTGTTCAAACTGAAAAGCAAGTGTCTGGCACAAAGTAAGTGTTCACTAAATGCTGGAAGCTATTATTTATAATAAGTTTCTTCCTTTCCAGCTCCGACATTCTATGCTTCCAACTACAGCATGTAATTAAACTCCAAAGCATCTGGCTTCTTGAGTCAAAAGAACAAGCCTGGAAGAAGGAAAAAGGAAGAGAAAAATCCTCTGGGTTGGCCATTTAGGCATCAGCATCACTGCCGGCCATCACAACAGGGGAGTGTTGCAAGATGCCAACCCCTAATGACAAGGCCCAGGGGATTCAGTGGTTACCTGTTTAGCTCAGACACTATGGGGAATATTTGAGACTGCGCAGAGGTAAGAGGTAAGTTCAGGGTTTTAGGGTCAAGCAGAAGAACCCAATAGCATCCTACGTGGGTCTGCTTCCCTTTCCCACTGTCTGTGCTGGGGGAACAGTGGCAGGGAGAGCTGAGTTGGAGAAGATAAACAGGAGAATTCAGGCAAGAAGGGCAGGAAGGGCAATCTTCAGAGGAAACAGCACCTGCTATGGCTCAGAGGCTGGAGGAGCATATAGCTGTGGTCACAGGGACCCAGGGGTGGGAGACGGTGTGGAGGAGTGTCAGGAGAGAAGGCTAAAGTGTGGGCGGGCACCAGGACACGAGAGACTTTCAGTGGGGAGGGATTTACATTCCCCTGGATTAAAAAAATAAAAAACTCCAGTATTTTAAAAAATTTGACAATGAACATGTATAGCTTTAATGAGAAGAAAAATAATGTTTTTAGAAAGAAGGGAAAATGATCACTCTTGCTACCATGTGGAGGCCAGTTTGGAGGCCACTGCAATGGACGGGGCAAAGGGTAATGATGAGACCTTATGTCCTATAAAGGCTAAAATATGTTATCTGGCCCTTTACAGAAAAACTTTGCCACCTCCTGGTTTATCTTGATGAAAAATTGGAGCCAGACTAAATGTCCAATAAAAGGAGATTGATCAAATTATGGTGCATCCCTTCAGCAAGTAGAATGCAAGGCCACTATTGAAAAATGATGCTGTCACACAAGGGCTCTCAAACTTGGCTGCACATTAGAACCACGTAGAGAGTCTGATGATCCCATAGCCAAACCCCATCCCAGACCAATTAAATCCTAGTGGGGTGGAACCCACACATCAATATTTGTTAAGCTTTCCCTAGGGTGTTCTAATGCAAAGCTGCTGTAGAAGACTATTGAGTGACATAGAAATATGGCCATTATATATTGTTAAGTGAAGGAAGACAGATTATCTAACAGAGTGTACCACATGACTCCTTGTTGGTAAATTTCTACATGCACACATGCACACAGACTCACATGTATGAACAATAGATGCTGAAACACTGACAGTGCTCATCTCTGTAGGAGGGGGCTATCAGAGATTTTGATTTTTTTTCTTTTTGATTATCTGTAGTTTCTATGCTCTGCAATGAACATTATGATCTTGTAATAAGGACAAAAAAAGATAAAGTAGCTTATAAAGCCGTATATTTTCATTTTGGGAAAAAGTACAAAAATTAGCATGTAATAAAACAAGGTCACCAGTCATTCCTGTACACAGCACTGGATAAGAGGTGCTTCACTGTTGCCCAACTGAGAGGCAGGTCCCAGCCTCATGGAGACACCAGGGCTCTGTGACTTAGGCAGGTCCGGGTGCCTTTAAGCACTTAGACTTCACAGGTGTTAAATGGGGTGAGTGTGCCCACTTCACAGGATCACAGGCACAAAGGTGCTCCACAAAGATTGCGACTTTCTCCATACGCAATCAGGCAGCTTCTTGCTGTTCTTGTGGAAAGGGAAGGATTGGCTTTGCCAAAGCCGGGCCTGTCCAAGTTCATCCACAGCTGCTGGTTCTTGGTGCTGTTGCAGCTGTCTAGCTGGCAGCCACCGCTTATCTGCTTTGGCGTGGAACCTCTCCTGCCCTTGGAATTTTCCTGTGGTCCCTAGAAAGACCCTGGCTTCTCATCAACACAACCTGTTGACCCTTTTACCAACACAGCCTGTATCCACTGTTCCCAGACTGGGTCCCTTCTACATAAAGAACGGCTTGCAGTCTTCCTGAGCTACTCACATTTAATAAAAATGACAGTAGTGGCTGCCATATATCAACTCTACCTGTGCCTGGGCTTACACCCTCTGTCTCTCTGCCTCAACTCTGCAGGGTATATGATGGTATTTCCAGTTCACAAGTGAGGCTCAGAGAGGTGGAGGAACTCAGTCGAGGTCACAACGGCTAATAAGTGGCAGCCCATCTGGCTCCCGAGTTTCTCTGCTGTACCACACTGCCTTAGCTGTCTCCGTTCCATCTTCTACCTCCAAACGCAGAAGTTCCCCAGTTGATTTTAACATTTAAATGTGGCATCCAAGTTTAATAAGTATTTTTATAAAAGCAGTGATTCTCACATTGATCTTGAACTCCCCTGGAAAGAATTTTTAAATGCCAAGGTTGTGGTTTCGATCCCTGGTCAGGGCAGATACAAGACTCAACCAATGAATGCATAAATAAGTGGAACAACAAATCGATCTCTACCTCCCTCTCTCCGTTCCTCTCAAAAAATCAGTCAGTAAATAAAAATTTTAAATTTATGGTAGCACAGGAAGGTCCTTTGGTGTTAAGGGACCAACAAGGTGGAATCGGGAACTAAAGAGACTACATCCCAAATCTCAGTTCTACTACTGTAGAAAATGGAGATATATCTGGCTCCCACCTCCCGGGCTAAGGGCTAGCGAGCACAGAATAGGGAATCCTGTGTTGGTGCTGGCAGCCCCTGCTTCCTGGGCATGGGCCGCTGCTGGCCTCTAGTGACCGCTGGGTAAATTGCACAGCAAGTTGACCTGAAGATGGGCATCTGGAAGAGCTTTTCTCCACTTCTGAACCTCCCTGATGCTGGAGTTCTCGACCTTGACAGATCCATAACTCCCCCTTTCATAAACTGTTATCAACACTATGATTTCATAAACTTGATATGTTAATGTCATTTTCATGGTTTTAGAAACTTGTTATTCCAGATTTTAATTTGCCTTTGACCCAATAATTAACTCAGGGGGAAAAGTGTGTGTGTGTGTGTGTGTGTGTGTGTTTTATTGTTGTTGTTTTTTAAATTGTACCCAGAGTATGGAGCCTATATAATTCCTCCTTTGGTGGTGCTGGGAGGGGGGAAGTTGAGGTATTATTTGTAATCTAGTTCTTATTCAATTTGTAAACTGTTTGAGAAGGTGTATATTCTGTGGGGTAAAGTATAAACCTTATAATAAAGCCAGACATTCACAGTCTTATTAATATATGTTTTCAGTATGTCTAAGTGGTGATTCCTGTCGTGTATTTTCCTGGGACCTAGGATACCTGTCATATCTGCACCCGCACCTTTTTCAGCGCTGGGGTCTTTGTCCCAGGGTAAGTCTCTAATCTTCGTGGTCGTCCATATCCATCCTCTTTTGTCTCATTATTTCCCACATGTTTTTCTGCTCTGTATTTGGAGACCTCTCAAATGTGCGACTACACCTTTGGTTGAGTTTTCTGCAGTGTAGACTCCACCCCTCTGCCTTCGGTATAGATTTCATCTCTGTCGCTGATTTTAGTTCTTTGTGTTCTGCATTTCAGCAGGCTGTGTCATTTGAGGGTTTTCTCATATTTTATTGAAAACTCAGAACAGACATTTCCTAACATTTCCCTCTGTTTTCCATAGCAGTTGATTTCCAGAAGCATACTTTTCCACTATCACCTTTAGAACCGGCAAGAGGAGCTCCTATCTGGGCTGTGTACTTTCGAGTCCCCCTCATACAAAATAATTAAATGTATCAAGGACCACAGAGGCCTCTGCCACTCAGGATCTGGCGCACAGCCCAGGCACAGCACCACCTAACGCTAAACACCCACTCTTGACTAACGGTGTTCAAGCCCCAGGGAGGTGCGTCTTCATGTCCTTCCCTAAGTCCCTGGGGAAAAATATGCAACTGCCTGGACAGGTTTAATGTAAGCTTAATGGCGCCCCTGCTGGCACTCTTTGGGAGTGCAAAGAGCCTTTGAGCAGAAAAGTACTTAGCTAAGAGAAAAGACAAATTAATGAACTTGTCAGAGCTTTCCTCTCAGATAGCAATAGATGTGAGTGCAATGAAATAGTATTTTCTAGTAATGCTGAGTGTACAATGTCTTGTTCTCATGTTCCTGTTAGTGGTTCTGGAGGTACACGTAAATTACTACAGTGTTTGCCTCAGTTGTAAAAGCTGAGGACATTTTTGCAAATTACATAAACCACACTATGCATCACTCTTAAATTCATCTTTCTAGACTTTAGAAATAACATGATACTGATTCTTTACACCAGCAACTAGACAGACATTGAATCCTAGGATTATAAATTTTGACATTTTTGCATAAAAATTTACTTAAGTTTTAAATTAAATTTTAAATAAATATATAATTTAAATTTTAAAATGGAACGTTACTTAAAATTGAATTAGGCTTTCAAAGACACAGCCAATTTGCATTGTTAAGAGCAGAGTATTTCCAGGAGAGTGATGATGTCACAGAACTGAGGTTCCAGGAGGCAGGGGGTGGGGGATGGGGGTTGCTGGCATTCCCACCTTCTTTAGAACATGGAGAGCTGTGAGCTGGGTGGGGCTAGCTTATAGTTCATGAGGAAGAGTAGGCTCCTACCCAACGAGCTTTGTTCTACAGATTCTCACAGAAATCCCTGGGCTGGCTGGAACCTGGAGTCAGAGAGGGATAGGAGAGAGGTAAGCTTCAGAAGGAGAGGTAGGACTGCACCTCCCAGAACCACTGTCTTCCCCAAGGGGACCTCGAGAGTAGACTTCATTGCGTCCCAAGGCTCAGTGACACCTGTCTCTGAAGGAATCTTACTGAGGCAGGACAGGGTAGGGTTGCATGAGACATACTTTTACTAAAAAAGTATTTGTTGTCTGAAATTCTAATGTAACTGGACATCCTCTGATTTTATTTGCTAAGTCTGGCAACTCTAGGGTGGGAGAGAGAAACGAAAGAATGGTTGCAAGCTCAGAATGGCATGGAGAAGACAGAGCAAAAGATCTGTGAGGAGGCAAGGCCATCAGGGTAGCTACCTTGTCCAAGCAGAACCTGCTTCGTGCCTGACTCATGGAGCTGGTGGATGGAGAAACTGAGGCCTTTGCCTTTAGGAACATACACCTAGTTTAAGAGGAAAGGTGCACACACACACAATACATACCTACACACATGCCCCACTAGTGACAGAAATAGCCCCGTTTTTTGTTTTCATGGCATTGACTGTTTTGAAGATTATTGGCCAATTATTCATAGAAGTTCCCTCTGTTTGGCTTTGTCTGAGGTTTCCGTGGGATTAGACGCAGGTTATGCATCCCTAGCCAGAACACTACGTAATAATTGAGAAGGGACTGGAAATAGCCAGGTGGGGAGCAGTGAACGAGCGAGGACATTTGGCTTCTCTCTCCAGATTTCTCAGACTCTCAGAGGAAGTCTATGAGACCCTAAGAACCGCAGGCCCCCAGCTGCCGTCCCCTCCGGGGATGACAAGGGCATTACTCATCTTGTTCAGCTGCCTCGTTGCCATAAACCAGGCCAGCCTCATCCACCGCTGTGACTTGGCCAAGGTGCTGCACCAGGAAGACTTGGATGGGTTTGAGGGCTACTCTGTGACTGACTGTGAGTGCCATTTCCTCACATTCCCCCACCCCACTTCTCCTCTCCTGGTCATCTCCTACGTGGCCATCTTTCTTTCTCTGTTTTGTCTTTGAAAGCCAAGTTCAAAAAGCAGCCCACTCCAAGAAACCTTTCCCAACATTCTATATTCATTCAACAATTATTCACTGAGTATTTATTATGTACCGGTTACTATTTTAGGTGCTGGGGATATAAACAAAGCCACTTCCCTCAGAGTGTTCACATTCTGGAGAAGAGACAAGCAATAAACAAACACAAAAAAATATAAAGCACTTCCTGTTGATGATAAGTGCTACGCAGAAGAATAAAGCAGGGGTGGGGGTGTGATAGGTGACACAGTCCTAGAAGGAGAAGCCATGGAAGGACTTTCTGAGGAGGTGACATTGAGCAGTGCTAAATAAAGTAAAGGACATGATCACCCAAATGTCTAGGGGAAGAGCATTCCAGGCAGAGGGAACAGTCAGTGCAAAAACTCCATATTATTGCATGTTAGGGATATCTCCATTTTGCTCAGAATTTGTGTACACCTGTCTTACAATACTTGTTTGTGTGTTTTTTTTACTTATTTTGTGATTCTTTTAGGTACACACCTTCATTCTTGTACTATAGGCCGTTTGAAGGCATCTGCATTTGGCCCAACTTAAATGTCCCTCACTGTGCTTTGCACAGTTCCTGGCACACAGTAGGTGATTATTAAGTGCTGAAAGCATGGATACTAGAGGGTGAGAGGAGAAACTGGGGGTGTTTCTAGCCCACAAGCCCCATCTAGCCTCTTAGGTCTTGTTCCTTTCTTTGGAGTCCTCATTTCCCTTCCCCTTCATCGCCCTTTTCCCTCAGCTTGGCCCCCCTAACACCCCCTTCTCTTTTTTCCTAAGGGCTGTGCCTAGCTTTTGTGGAAAGCAATTTCAACATATCAAAGGTAAATGAAAATGCAGATGGCAGCTTCGACTATGGCCTCTTCCAGATCAACAGTCACTACTGGTGCAACGATTACCAGAGTCACTCGGAAAACACTTGCCAAACAGAGTGTCAAGGTCTGGCCAGGGCCCCAGGGAGGAAGAGGGGAGAGAGATGACAGAACTCTATTCACAAAACTTCTCTTTCCACTCACAGTCTGAGAATGCCCCCAGAGGGATGGCTCGAGGAATCAGGGAATTCCTTTACTGAGCGGGTTTGACTAGTGGCCCTAATGCCCATCTGAAGATTCCTCTGTGTCCCCGAGCAGGATCCAGAAAGGTTCTGTACAGCCTGCAGCAGTAGAGCAGCAGCCAACATTTATTGAGAGCATATTATATACTAAGCACTTTCCATGCAGTAGCTGATTTCATCCCACTTTCCATGCAGTAAAAACCAGTATTCCCACTTTACAGAAGAGCACACTGAGGCTTATTGAATCACTGGGGGTCCTGGAGCCTCAGCTCTAACCAATAAGTGGCACTGTCTTTGGTTAATGATCTGACCAAAGGCCAAGGGCAAACTCCCCATTTCAGAGCTGATCCAGGAGACTCCACAAGTGCATGACTCTGCCTCTCACCACCTCTTTTGTACTCTGGTTAATGTCCCTGGATCTTCACCTAAAGAGCCTCCCTAATTAGGCAGGACTTTATTGTGGTCTCTGTGCTGCCTGTTTTGGCATTTCCTTTCCCTAGAAACTCCCAAACTTTGGGTGAACCACCATCTGTTCTGGCTAAAAACTATGTAAACAAGCCCAAATCTCAGTCCTCCTGCCCCCACCCTTGGCTATCCCCAACCTCCAGCAGCCATTGTAGGGATGTCTAAATGGGCCTCTGGAGGGAGGGATTGCCTAATCTGGAAGTACGCAGCCCCCAGGAAACACACCTGGGCAGGGAGAACAAGGGGCCACCTTAGTCTTTGGGACTGTCCTCTGCTCTCACAGGTATTCTCTTTTTCCTTTTCAGAACTGCTGAGCCCCAATCTTCTTGCAACCATCCACTGTGCAAAAAAGATTGTGTCTGGAATAGCAGGGATGAAGAACTGGTGAGGAGGACACTGTAGGACAAAGTTAGCAGGCAGAGCCCCATGAAGAGTATGGTGACAGAGAAAGGGGCAATAGGCAAGGACCAGACCCTTTCTGTAGTCTAGAAAAGTGTGGGATAGTGGCAGGGCTTGGAACTCTGGCTGGAAGACCTGGAATCTAGTTGTTTCTGGGACCTGAGAGGACATGGTGTCTTGCTGAGCCCACGCAAGGGGTGCAGCTGGGCCTCAGGAAGAGTGGAAGTTGTACTGCAAACTGTCAGCAAGCTTTCCCTGGCAGGCTTCTGCTCCCCTTAGTGCATTTGCTTCACTACTCCCTCTGTAGACCAGCTTTCTCTGCTCCATAGTCCACAAGACAGACTACGGCCACCCAAGTTTATGGTCCAGCATCCTAAGCAGCCACCGAGACTGGCCAAGCTCAGTCCCAGTCTAAGTGCCTGGGATAGAGAATCCGATTGGTTCAACTTGGACCTCATGTCCCCACTTGGTTCAATCAGCTGTAGGCCTAGGAACAATTAAAGCAATACAGTCATGGCTGCCACAGGGTTCCCCTCTCCATAATTGGCAGCAACATTTTCCATAAAAATGTATTGCTTATCAGCTGGCAGTCACCCCCAAAGTTGTCAGTTTACCAACACTGTACATTGGGATGGTTACTTAACTTTTCTGAGCTTTAAACTGGATGTATAAATAATGTCAACGGCTGCCCCTGCAGGCATCTGTGAGGATGGAAGGAGTTAAGTCTTTGCATATTCTAAAAACATCTTGCAAAAGAAGGGACATAATTACTGTTAGGACTGAGCCTTTCCAGAGCAAGAGTCAATGGTTGCACCTGGGAAATTTTACACACACACACACACACACACACACACACATATATGTATGTATATATATTAGTAACTCTCAGCCCTGTAAAACAGTGTCCTCTCCCTTCAGAGGGAGGTAAGCATTTGAAAATGTCAAAGCATACTGACTAGGGGGGAAATGCAAACACCATGGACAAGGGAAACAAAGGAAGAATCAGAGGGGCTGCACAAAGATAGATGAGAAAGCTAGGAATGAAGTTGCTCTGTGTGGAAGACTCAGAGCTGTGTCATGTGTGTGGCTCCTACGTGGGAAGCAAGAACCAGCCTTTCTCTCTCCACAGGGCAGAGTGGACGATACACTGTGCAGGCCGGCCACTCTCCTACTGGATAACAGGATGCCACCTGTGATGAGACAGGGTGCAGGCCTGCTATGGGATCATTCTGAAACTCCTCTCCTCCCCTGGGGATTCTTCCTCTTGCCTCCACTTAATGTTATTTTCTTCCCTTCCCATTTACAAGTAAAATTGACCAGAACCCCATGGAGAAATTATTTTCTAGGGCTTCCTCCTTGCTCCCATCCAGGCCCAAGTCCCTGGTTCCTGACTGTCATTTGTAAACCAAGAGGACCACAATAAAGTTGTTTCTGTATTTTTGGAATTATTAAAACATTCTTTGTGCAAAGAATGTGTTAATTACTCATTAATTCTACATATATGAGAGTACCTAATATAGTAGGAGTATGCCAGGTTCTAGAGGAAGGAAGATTAAACCTATTGTTCATAATTTAGGTGGAGAAGCAGAGACACACAGGAATAGTGGCATCACCAAGGAATGGATACACACATTCTAGCCCATTCTCCCAAAGCACCCCACATTAATGGCACTTATACCATTTCTCTACACCACCACTACTTTCTCCACCTCAGTATACCTGACCCTTAGCCCCACCCATTACCTACTTCTGAGCCTTTTCGTTACTTCAAAACAGTTGGCTTTGGAGGAATTACTGGGGTCCTGACACTGTTTCAAACCAGTAATTATAGATTTTATTATCCATTGCATCCTCCATTCTCTCCTACTGATAGAGGATGACAGGTGGGATGATGAACCAAGCTTGTTGGCTGGACACATTGAAATTCTCACTCTCATTACCACCTTTGGGGACAAAGGGGTGGAGAAGCAGAATGAAAATGGAAAGCAGTCACAAAGCTAAGAATCCTCTAAAGGAGCCATGTGATGCTTCCCTACAAAGCAGGTGTTGTTCTAAGTGTCAAGGATACAGCAATAAACATGACGCAGTCTCTAGAGAGAACAATAAACATAAATAAATAGATATATTCAGTGGTATGCTAGCCAAATGTTTAACAACCAGTACTCGAAGCCACAAAAAACAAATCCTAATTGTAACCTTTGACAATTTTAATGATGTAAATACTTCCACCATGAATGTTTTCAAGCTACCAACCTGATACCACTAAATGCAAAATTGGAACGAGATGGGCTAGGCCATATGAACTAGTCTAGAGTACCACTGGGCATTTAACTTATCGTCAGGTAGTGATACATGCTATAAAGAAAAGAGAGCCCAACACTTTTAAGGACAGTGGTCAGGAAAAGCCTTTCTGAGACTGTAAAAGGAAGACAGTCTACCATTTATTGCACACCTATTTGGTGTCTAAAACAATGGTAGAGGGGATCCAAGATGGCTGCAGAGTAGGTGGAAGCTGCACCCACCTCTCCTCCAGCGCCAAACGGATTTACAACTAAATTATAGATCAACCAACCTGAATAACTAACTGAAGCCTTGCTGAACAGAAGTATTATAACCAAGGATCTACAGAAGAAGCCACATAGAGACTGAAAAACAATGAATGTAAACTGTAATTGAAAAAAAAAAATTTTTTTTTTAAATAAAACAATGGTAGGCACTTTCCTATATAGAAACTCTCATTCTTTTTGACAAATGAGAAAACTAGGGCAAATGTTCAGAGAACCAACCCTGGGAAGACATTTGACATGGAAAAAGGGAAGGGGCACGGGGGGAGAGAGGAAACAGATGGATTTACTCTCTGGCCCCCATATTTATGACTCATTGCTCCCTCGTAAGGTTGGGCGAAGCCAGAGCGCAGGCACATCTGGTAGGAAGTGAGGAAATTCAAGTTCTCTCAAGCCTGTACTTGTATGTGGAGGGCGGGACACAAAAGGGACTTTTCAGATGTTGGCAGAGTCCCGCCAAATCCATCTCCACACGCGCTGGAGGGGCGTGGCCCCAGCTCTGATTCTGAGCCAATGAAGAGCCGAGGTCGGACGCGGGAAGGCAGTTACGCACCCAGCGCAAGGCGGGAAGGCAGCTCCCGCGCGAAACGGCCTGTCTCAGGCCGCACCACGAGATGAACAGGCACGGGGGGGACACAAGCCCTTCTTTCCCTTGTAGAGCCATTGTTTTCTGCAACAGACCCTTTCTTCTTGTTTTCCCTTTGTTTTATTTAGCTGCGATTATCTTGGGCCAAATAGGCGCTCTCTGCCTAGCAGGATCCTTACTTCTCTACCCCTCATTTTTCCCGCGCACCCCTCCTCTCGGTTTAGCTTCCTACCCGCTCCACTCTTTTCAGTCAACCTTTGCTAAGCTTCTGCGTTACGTCACGAGTTTCTAGGCAGATCAGGAGCGTTTTCGCGCGCCAGCCTGGTGCTGCCTTGCCGCGCGACAAACCGCCTTAAGCTCGTGGCGGTTCCTGAGAGTGCGGCAGGCGAGGCGCGCGAGGTGCGGGAGAGTTGGAAGGGCGACCCGAGGAGCGGCGGGAGCGGCGAGGAGTGGCCCTCAGTGAGGATTTAGGTTTTGTTTTGTTTGCTTGGGTTCATGCTGGTGTCTCCTCGAGGATTTTTTGTGGAATCTGTAGAGATCTGGTCTCATGGCGAGCTTCGCCTCCTCTCACTTTACTGGGCTAGAAACCCTCAAGAGCACTAGTTGTATGTTTTCCACATTTTTTAATGTTTTAAGTACACCCCCCGCCCCCATTTAAAAGCCTTCGCGACGGTCTGCGGGGCTGAGAGCGTGAGAACCACACTGTGGACACGCTAGACAGGAAACTCCTTCGGAGCAAGAGCTTATGCTCTGTACCCAAGCGGAGGGCACAGGTCCTCGCACAAGTATTTGTCAGTATCCTATTGTAGATATGCTAACTAGTTGGTTCGTTCATTCATAGTTGTTAAAATCCTACAACCATTCTGGGTGCTCAGGATCTATCAGTGAAAAAAAAGGGGGGGGCGTGGGCCTGCCCTCACGGGGCCTGCAGTCCGGGGGGGAGGTGGACCGTAAAAACAGGCCTAAGAAGTCAACGAAGTCAACGAGAGTGTGTTAGGAGCGTGTTCTGGGAATAGAAAGCAGTGTTGCCGCTTAAGGGTGTGCTGTGGTGTGGGGGGGCCCAGGGATGAAAAGAGGGTGATGGTGGCGGGCCTCAGGGCAGAGATACAGTGAACTGGGTGAGGGAGTGTTGAGGGCGGAGGAAGCCAATTCCAGGCGGAGGGGAGAGAGAGTGCCAAGGCTGGAATGTGACTCGGGGGTGTTTAAGAAATTGCAAGAAACCCTGGGATATAAATGGATGGTGAGAATCCCAAACTTGGACAGGAAGTCCAGTTTAGGCTACACAGCCAAAGCAATCCAATTGCGCGTCAGTGTTGGCGGCCCTGCCCTCCCTGCCCACCACTCTCCCTGGCAGCAGCACAGGCCTAGAAATTTAGACAGTTTAAACCTTTAATTTGGGATGTAAAAGGAAATTCAGAGATTTAAAATTTGTTTTCTCTTAGGGATGCTGCTTTGTCTTAAGAAAATGAATCTAAAATTTTATGATTGGTACCTGATCATAGCATGCCATGTGAAAGTAAGGATGAAATGTTAGAGCTGTGGGGATATTGAGGGTGGGGAACACTTGAAATAACATAAGACAAAGTATGTGTTAGTATATGAGTATGAAAACAAAAAGGGACCCCCCCCCCATTTTCTTATATCCTAGTGGCAACCACAAGGGAAAACCAACTAGCTTGACTTATAGTGGTCAGAGATGATGGGAAACCTTTTTTTAGCTAAGGCTCTATGAGATTAATTCACAACAAGATCAGGTTTTGCAGAGAAAGATAAGCTAAGCCAAGGAGAAAGATCAGCAAGCTAAGGAGAGATGAATAAAATAGAAGGAGTTCTTGGATTAATCTCTATTCAGAATTGTTCGTGACACTGTGGCCCCTTCAAAGCACAGATAATATGGACTCATCTAATATATAGAAGCAGTGAAGTACTAAGATCATCGTCCAATGGTTAAGATGCCTGGTTTTGAATTCTGGCTTAACCTCTTAATTAGTTGTGTGATTTAGGATAAGTTACTCTACCTCTCTTAGCCTCCATCTCATCTGTAAAAGTGGGGATAATTAAAGTAAAGCACTAGTCCAGTGCCTGGAACATAGCATATGTTTACTAAATGTTAGAAATTACTAGACAAGATGTGATTGAGAAAGTGTCTACAGACCACTAGTGAGTCCCTAGCTTGGAGTAGGTGTTACAAAGAGAACAAGGAATTCAAGGAATTCAGAAGTTAATTGGGATTCTAATACTGTCAACAACAAAATAAATTTTTAAAGTTAATTGGGATTCTACAATGTACAAGTTCATGTGACATCAAAAATCTATACAGCTAAATAATGTTATGCATACCCTTGAAACAGTGGGAAAGCCATTTTCCTGTGCCCTTCACATGCCATTTTCAAAATAACATTAGATATGAACAACTGGTATTTTCTAAATCTTATGTAGGAGGTGAAAAATACACAAAACACTGCTATTTTTATTGATCTGTAACACATTTTTAAGTAAAACTAATATGCTTATTGTGCAAACACAGCCTCTAATACCCATTTCCAATGAGACTCAGACCCCCTAAACATCTTCTATTTGCAATTTTTAATATCATAGCTTCAGAAATCATGCTTGGCCTATGTGAGGTACAGATAATGTGAATAAGTGAGGGATTGTGAAGTTGGACAGGGTTAGTCAAGAAACCTTTCTTAGAAGAAATTAGCTTGAATGAGGTTTTGAAAGAAAAAACTTGGTATGGATCGGTGGGGAAAAGAGAAGTGGACACTTTAGATTTAACTGAGCCAAAGTAGTAATCCAAAGGTCACTTGGTGAACACGGAGGAAGATCAGAAGAAGAAGGATTATCTTGAGGGATATTTCATAGTGGTCATGAAGAAAGAGGCCTGTTGAAATATTTCTCCCTTACATGAGAGGCTGGGACTCTAATGACCACATTGTCTAGATTCAGGGTCACTGTCCACAGGACAGTGCTAGATAAACACTGCCATATTTCATCCCTCTAAACCTCGTTTCTCATGTTTCCATGCTAACAGCCTTCTTCTCTTGACTCAAACAGATAGAGGCAAACATGTAAACAGACAAGTGCAATACAAGTTTATACAGGCCATTCACTTAATCTAATATCCCCTATTATAGTACCACCCACACCACTGATACTTTTGCTGCAATTTCTTCAAACTATGCCAGGTTTCAGGAAAGGAGCTGGCTTTTAACAATACCAAAGAGAATTTTCTGTGTCCTTTTTTTTGGTCACTTTCTGTGACTTTGGTCACAACATTGCTCTTTTCTTTCTCTCCAGCTGTTGGCCTTTCTCTAAGGAT